TTCACATAAAGAAAATTAAAAAGTATGCTAAAAGTATACCTCACATTGCACAGCTTCTCAAACAAGAGCAAATGTAGGATTGGGGTGCCAGTTTTGTCCTTTGAAAATTGATAGATTTGTTCAATCACTGACATTTGCTAGTGCTGCAACCTAATGTGAGTAACAGCCAGTAAATGTTATGGCATCTCAAAAGTAGCACACGTGAAAGCCAGAAGAGTGCACGTGGTGTGGCCACATAGAACAGTAGCTGCACACTGAAAAGTGCACATGCAGAGAGTTTTTCTGCAGTGCAAAACAATAACTCTGCATGTAGTACACTATGTGTGAGACCGACTAAAGCATTACAGATCTAAAGTGATGTTTTTGCCAAGGGCTTTGAAAGTTTATTATTATTATATACAGTTGAAGACAAAAGTATTAGCCCTTATTAAATTTATTTTCTTTTTCAAATATTTCCCAAATCATGTTTACCACAGCAAAGGACATTTTCGCAGTGTTTCCATTAATATTTTTCCTTGTGGAGAAAGTCTTATTTGTTTTATTTCAGCTAGAATGAAAGCAGTTTGTAATATTTTTAAACCATTAAAGGCCAATATATTAACCTCCGTAAGCAATATGTATTTTTTCATTGTCCACAGAACAAACCATCATTACACAATGATGCCTAATTACCCTAACTTGCCCAACTAATCAAATTAAACTAGTTAAGCCTTTTAATCACACTTCAAGCTGAATACTAGTATCTTGAAAAATATCTAGTGAAATATTATGTGTTATGTCATCATCATGGCATAATTAAGTTATTAAAACTATTATGTTTAGAAATGTGTTGGAAAAAAATATTCTTTCTGTTAAACAGAAATTAGGGAATAAATATACAAGAAAAGGAAAGTCCTTTGGAGGAAAATCAACCCTAGGTGGAGGAGTTTAAGTATCTCTGGGTTTTGTTCACGAGTAAGGGAAGCATGGAACGTGAGATTGACAGGCAGATTGTGCTGCGGCAGCAGTAATGCGGTTGATGTACCGGTCCGTTGAGGTGAAGAAGGAGCTGAGCCGAAAGGCAAAACTCTCGATTTACCAGTCAATCTACGTTCCTACTCTTACCTATGGTCATGAGCTTTGGGTTATGACTGAAAGGACCACATCTCAGATACAAGCGGCCGAAATAAGTTTTCTTAAAAGGGTGGCAGGGCGTACTCTTAAGGATAGGGTGAGGAGCTCTGACACACAGGAGGAGCTCGTAGTAGAGCTGCTGCTCCTCCACATCGAGAAAAGCCAGCTGAGGTGGCTCGGGCATCTGTTTCGGATGCCTCCTGGACGCTTACCTAGGGAGGTGTTCCAGGCATGTCCCACCGGGAGGAGGCCTCAGGGAAGACCCAGGACACGCTGGAGGGACTATGTCTCTCGGCTGGCCTGGGAACGCATCGGGATCCCCCCGGAGAAGCTGGAGGAAGTGTCTGGGTAGAGGGAAGTCTGGGGTTCTTTCCTAAGACTGTTGCCTCCGCGACCCGGCTCCAGCAAAAGCGGAAGAAAATGAATAAATTAATAAAATATAGACTAAGTCTAATAATTCAGGAGGCCTAATGTTACCTTAACTGTATACACTATTTTAAAGATCATAAGGGCACATACAAATATAAAAATCTGCTAAAAATACAGAATTGTCCAGTTCTATATCATGGTAACTTAAATAAAGTAGAAGTGTTCAGTTTTGGTTCGGACTTGCTCAGCAAGACTCTCAGACTCTTGCTTTGTTTTGACAGGTTTGAACTGCAAGAGAAAAGCCGGATCGTAGAAGAAGATGCTCAACCCAGAATGAGAGACGCACGAAGAGAAGCCTTTCTCCCTGAAGAGTTCGCTTCAGCTCTCTCTACCCATCCACTCTAACAGTGTTGATGATCCACTCTGACATGACTGACCTTTCCAGGTCCTGCAATGTGCCCGCACTCTTCTGTGCCAGGCTGAAAAGGCCACACCATGCCTGAGAAACCAGGCTGCTACATTACCAGAACCACTTCAGCGGGCTCACAATAACAAACAAACTGCACAATCTTTTTGCACTACTGCGTTAATTTTAGATTATTAGATTATGGAATACAGTGTAGAGTACAGCAATGAATGTGACATCCAAACAGCATAAAATTAGGGCTAAAGCCACGTCCGTGCACAGAGTGATCCATCTTAACTGAAATAAACAGAGCTGGGTATCAGGATGAAATTTTCATACAGTCACCACTTAGCACATGCGGTTCAGAGAGCACTGCGCCTGTTGTCAGAAGAGATTTATTTGCGTCTCCTGGTGTGTCTTTAGAGAAGCAATGCGTAGCAGCATTTGGAAAGCACAGAGAGAGCGAGCGATGGATTTATGTTTCATTTGGGCTTGGGTTCTCTGTCGCATACAGACTGCGAACTCCCAGAGCTGGCTGATTCTGCAGAGATGAATCATATAGCTGTGGTCTTGCAGTTTCAGGGTACCAATGTGAATTTCTTTTTATCCAGTGAACGTTTCCCCTCTGAAACTTCCTTATATGTAGTTTTCTGCTGTTCGGCACATTCAGGATTTAATGTGTTTACTCCAAAAAGAGCATTTTGTTTCATTAAAACACACTGAACCATGTCGATACGACTAAATAAATAATAAATATAAAAGGAGTGAGATTAATTAACTCAGATCCATTTGCTTGGCAACTGTTAAAAATGAGTGACTGCCAAAACTGAGTTTGCATGATAACTGAGCAAAACTGACACGGTCACAGCCAGTTGTGTCAAACGTAATTCATGGACTAACATTAGATCAGCAAGCATAACCGAGGATGACGACCAAGCTATTTTACATGCGTTTACGAGAGCAGAATGCACAGGCACTAAAAACACATATGTTGTTTATTCAAAGGCACTTATAAAAGTGAAAGTCTGCATATTCCCAGCATATTAAGCCATCATTATACTTAGTAAACAACAAAAATAACTTTTTAATGGCTTGCTTGTCCAGACTGGCACTGTCAGATTTATAGATGGGAATGCTGGACGGCTCGGCTGGGCTTTATGATACCTCATTTAAAGTTCATTACAGCGCAGCCTCTCTGTCATTTAAAGGGAATACAGAATGAGAGAAAGCAAGCTGTGGTCAGATGCTGTGGAAAATAGCATTTCAGGCTTGACATTTACTCATTTTGACTGGTTATCTCTTTGTTTAACGTGTTTGCCATAAACCGTGCTGGGTGATAAGTAATAATATCACTGTCACATTCATAATATCACTGAGTGTCAGAGAGAAGCCACAGGCAATGAAAACCCTAATTATACAGTCTTTTCTGGCAGGGTAAATGTATCTATTTAAAATCGCATGTGAAGTATATTCATCTGTACAGACTAATGTTAGGCTGAAAATACCTTCTGAACTGTGAGACAGTCTAAAGAGAAAATTACTAAGAGTCATGGCACATGCAGCAAAATTCGAAAAGCACACACTGTATTCTCCATCAAACTAACTGTTGTATTGATTAATCGGCTTCTGAGGTTGAAATCATTTCTCATTCAGCTGGTTCAGAATTAGTAACACATCGCTATATGTCAGAGGAAAAAGTTCACCTTTAAGTAATTAGTTTCAGGGAGCTTTTTTATATGTGAATGCTCCAGTTAACTGACATATCTGAAGGGGTCCGAGTTTATTGTCAATTAGGCATGGGATGATAACCGTTTTCAAGGTCGCTGTTTGAAAAAGTCAAGGTATTAACACTGCCAAACTTTTCTGTAATACCGTTATGTGTAAGATTTTTTTATATACGTTTTGTTTTAGGTTTTTTAGGACAACAGTATCTCCAGCAGAAAAGATCTCCAAAAATGCTGTTTTAGATTGTAATGAAATCTGTGTTTTTGAAGCTTATAAAGACAGCAGAAGTTAATGATTTTTATAAATATATTTAGCCTGACGTGTTTACTGCTCAAATTTTAAAATATTTGCAAAGTTTCTCAAAATAAAATGTATTTTGTTCAAAGGGGAAAAAAGTTTACAATTAAAAAGAGTATATTTTAGAGCAGTATTCACAGTACCGTAAATCCATGATATTTTTATCCCAGGTTCTCATATCATCAGAATCTTATATACCGGCCCATGCCTATTGGCAACACAATAAGCTTTATTATTTCAAACTAATATTAACCTAATTGATTGCCAAAGCAATAAGACATAATCACAAAATAGATTAAAATTAGATCAAGGGTCTGAAAGATCAAAGTCCAGGGACATTGTGAATGAAAAAAAACAGCTAGATTCACTTTAGGGTGACATAAAAATGTTGTTTAATAGGCTCAATCTATATTGCTCTGTGACTTTAGAATATGATTTTGTAAGATAACACAATTTAATTGCTTTCTATTTGAAAATTAAACAAAAAGAATATTTGTTTTGCTATTTTCTATTCATTATGAAGTGTAATAGTTATTGATAAAGTACACTACTCTTTTGAGTGTACACTATAAAAATTATTTTAGGTAAATACAAATAGTTCTATTTTACCTCAAAATGTCACGTTTGATTCAATCTGTGACATGCCATTACTTTATTAATGTTTGTAAAAATGTATAACATTTACAGAGTGTACACTAAACATCTTAAATAGGCAATGAAAAGTTTGGGAGAGTATATCTTTTTATTACTCAAATCGTCAAGTTTGATCAAATGCATTCATTTAATTTACTAGCAATTTAAGAAACACCTTTCAGTGTGTGATCATTTTCTTATATTTAACGTTTTCATTATTGTTGTCATTACTATTCATAATGAGTTTTACCCCACTTCCCTGAGTGTAAATGGCAGTTTGGTCAACAAAGCCGTCAGAGTGGACTCGAGTGTGAAAACACCCTCAGTCTACATTTTACACTTCATCATTACCTTCATTAGAAGCAACAGAGCGGCAAATGAATTCTCCAAATTAGTTTATGAGAAAAGGGGGATAGAGAGAGAGGGGGTGAGGGAGAAAAAGAGGGAGGGAGGTTACCTCTTGCGCTTTGGAGGCTGCCTTTTGTCCATAATCACCGGCACGCAGTTGGTCAGTTCCGTCCAGTCCGCGTGCAGCCCGCAGCTCCAGCCCGTGGAAAACCTCGAGAAGAGCCAGGACTCCTGCTTACCCGGCCGGTGGCACGTGCATTTCTTCTGTCCCGCTTTGCAGTCGCACGGCTGCTCCAAGCGAATATTCCTGACCAGGTGCCTGCCAAATGTGGTCCCTCCCGTCTTCTGAATGTGCAGAAACACAATCACATCGTCTCCCTTGATGTTGAAATCTACATCGCGCGTCAGGTCGCGTTCCGTAAAGTTGAATTTGGATGCGCATTTAGGCGGGTTGTCTTCCTCCGGGTCCTGCTCTCGGTACAGGTCGTCGGTGGTTGGGTCCGGGGTGGCCAGAGGAGCGATCCTCACGAGTTTGTCTCCAGTCCTGAAATGACAAGCCTGACCGCCTGCCGGACAAACATACTGGTACCCAATCATGACAAAAAGAATGGCTAAAATTGGGATAAAAATCCATTTGTTGGGTTTATCATTCATTTTAGCACAAGGAAATTCTTCTTGCAGTTAATCTGAATCATGACCTCCTCTCCGGGTCTCGTTCCAGAACGATCGCGTGAGAAACAGCCCAAAAGCCCCATGCCACATGTTGATATATTAAAAAAGAGGAGTGTGACATCCAGGTCTTCACGTCAAAACTTGCTCTCTCGCAAAGTTGTAAAGAAAGTGCAAAACAAGAAGCATGACAAAATGCACAACCAAATGCTGTTCAAGAACTGAACATCGTGGTCATATAAGCTATAAGACGTCAAAATACTAAGGTTAATGAATTGATTTGAAGCGTCTAGGCGTGCTTTGCTCTGCGGAGTGTCCACACTCTGGATGAGTCTGTGCTCTTCGGCCATCCCGCCGCGGCGCGCATCAGCGGGAGGACGCCAGTGATGTCAATGAGACGCGAGCGCTCAATGAAGAGACACTGTCGCGCCGGTGGAGCACGAGCTCTTTCGTAGCACGAGAACAGTTTTATCTGCACCTGGTCCCAGTCCAGCGCTCTGGTATATTTAGCAATGAAGTGTCGCCACTACTGAGAGAATGCACGGTGTGCGTGTTATTACGTTCTTCACGGCTTTTTGCACTGTGCAATTTTTGTGCCACTTCACTTGGGGAAAATTCCAAAAGGTTGTAATTAATAGATCATTTCGGTTATCATCGGAGTCAATATCATATTGGGTTGAGTTAAGTAATTTAGGATCTAAATAATTAGGTTAGGATTTTTTATGCTGCTCATTTTATGCATAACTGAATGCAGAAAATGTATAATATAATAAAAAATATATAACAATATAATATGAGCATATGATATAGCCTTATGTTATATTATATTATATTATATTATATTATATTATATTATATTATATTATATTATATTATATTATATTACGTTTTAATAAGTTATTGTTGCTCATTTCTAGAATTTTTCTAAATGGCTGCACTACAAGACAACAAACAAGGGTCCAGAATGTTGGAAAAAAGTCATGACAAAAATGTAAAAATGCATTTTAAAAAATGTAATAACTGGAAAAGAATATTTGATCGGTTTACAATATACTGATGGCCTGTTTTTCAAATATTAATTGGTGATAATGGTCAGAAATGTTGGACCATTATTGTTTTTTTTTAGCATATAAGTAGAGTTACTCTTTCACAAAAACCTAAATAAACACTTGCTTACAGATACTTTTGGAGATTAATTTATATTATAATAAAAGTTAATAAAATGAAAACAGGAAATTATTATTAAATAAAGAACTCCATAAACAAATCATATTGAGAAGATTGCCATTTTGTTTTATTTACTTTACCATTCTCCCCTTCTTTTCTAATGTGTTTAATGATTATTGCAATAAGTTTTTGGGGGGGGGGGGGGGGGGTCTTCCACTCTTCCTTTATGTAGCGCCCCCTTTGGTTTATTCTGTGTCACCATAAAGTTGCTAAATAATTTCATACAACTTCTGAGTGTGTGTGCAGATTTTTTTTTTTATTATTGAAAGTCTAGTAATGTACAACAACTTGGCATTATCAGTACACCTCTACATTACAAGAAAAGGAAACAGGTGCAAAAAAAAGAACAAATAAAATGTTACATAAAATACTTTTAAGAAAAATAATATACATAATTAAATCTTAAAAAAAAAACTAAATAGATAAAAAAATTGATAAATGAAAAGAACTAGGAGTTTTGCTGTAATTTATATTTTTCTATCAAAGACGACTAATTGCACTTTTCGTTAAGATTATGATCATTATCTTATTTGAAACTTCTATAGCTAATTCAAAAAGGTCAACATATTGATAAATATGTTATGGTGGCTGTTTTAGCGTTGAGTATTTAGAATTGCCTCTTGTAATAGTTCTAAAATAGTTTGATAACAAGCAGGAAATGTTCATAGGCCATCACCACATCGAAATGGTCTATTCGTGACATGTTTAAAGTAATAAATTAAATAGGCCTAAATGACCTTTTATTAGGGCAATGAATTCTATATGAAAAAAATTCAAACAGAAAAGATCCATTTCAGAGCAGCATAGAGAAATATAAGCTATATAATACAAAGATCATAAATGCAATATGATGTTGATCTAGCACCAGTTGCAATATTTCTGTATAACATTAAATAAACTATTCAACTTTTTAAAATATAAATGTGTATGTTGTTCACATATATGTTTTACTTTTAGACATATGACATAAAACAAGCAAAATTATACATTTAAACAGCAATTTCACTTCCAAAAATATATTTTAAGAATGGCACTAACTCAGTGTTTCTCATCCACGTTCCTGGTTCCTTAGATTTCTCTTTTGTCTGTCACACCATCACAGGTCTTCAGTCTCTGTTAATGAGCTGATGATCTGCATCAGGTGTTTTGGGTTAGGGAGACATGGAAAATGTTCAGAGCTGGTGGTCCTCCAGGAAAGTTGTTGAGAAACAATTCATAGGCTTATATCGTACATTATAAATTGATGCCAAATTTGTGAATAATTTAAACAAAAAATATTATGTATTCTAACTCTGCAGGGTTAAATAATTATAATATATATTGGATTTTAGTAAAGCCAACTGAACACTTCATAGCATTAGCATGTGGATGCAGGAGCTTTACAGTTACTTCACTGCATTAGTAACACTAGTTGTCCATAAACATGCCTGAGAAACCTCCGTCCGTGTACATTTTCTAAAACATATTAATGCTCTATAAGATTTCACTGCTATTCATGAGTTGAACTTTATGTAAAATTTCAGTCCTACCAGTAGCTGATGTAAGAAGCTTTTCCAGAAAAGCGTAAACAACGCGTCGCTTTTCCATATGTGGAAGAGGGAATTAAAGATGCAGGACCCCTCAATGGCGGCGTCCTGTGAAACCGGGTAACACAATCAGCGGCGCAGAGACAGATGATTTAGGTGTGTTTTAAACATATTCACAGTTAATATCACAGAATCAGGATGCGATGTATTCCCGTTGAATAACATAGTGTGTTTGGTCCAGATAGAAAGCTAAAAGAAGTTGAACATTTTGTGTGCTACGTGTCTCTTCTTCCCAATCTTATATTTCTTCATTTGCAAGACAGTTTCAGATTTGTTTATCATGTTTGCATGAAATCCGTGAGACGGAAAGCGATGTTAATGTCACTAAAAGCACAAGAGTGGAATTATGCGACACAAAATGTTACATTATAGCTACGTGGCGTTTTATTAGACAGTGTATACCTGCTGTGTCGTTTTACCCCTGACGCGTCAATGAGGTAAACCTCTTCACTGAATGTAGAAGTCGTTTTCTGTTGATACGTGTTATTTTTATAGTTACACTGTTATCCTGGAATAAGCAAGATTTTAGGTAAACTGATAGTTCGCCCAAAAGTGGCTCAATTGGTCCAAAACTTATGACTTTATCTTTTGTTTAACACAAAACAAGATGATTTGAAAAATGTTAGAAATCTCTAACTTGACTTCTATAGCGGAAAAACAAAAACCATGGAAGTCAATGGTTACAGGTTTCCAAAATTGTTCAAAATATTTCCTTTTTTGTTTACAATAAGAAAGAACCTCAGAACAAGTGAATCGTGTAAATGATCACAATATTTTGGGTGAACTATCCCTTTAACATATCATATTGGGGGCTGTGATCACAAATTATAGAGTTTATTGATTTGAAAACAGTAGAATTGCTTGAAATATAAAACAATGTCTCAGACGGATAAAAAAAACAGCCTGTTTTAAAATATATTTAAGCTAGGCCATAAGTTTAAACAGTAAAATTGTTCTGAATGTCAAAACAATTAACAGGCTAATTGTAGTTCATTTGAAAATGTCACATCTTTTACGCTATAAAAACTTTTACAGTACATAGCTAATGTTTATTAAAGATGAAGAACTACCATCATGCCTTGCTTATCAGAGTAAAATGGCTGTTTAGCGTATTTTCCTGAAGTGCTATGTTTTTAATTTAAATGGAAATGTTTTATTTTAGAATTTCTGGTAACTAGTGATTATTTGAAATGTTTTGAAATTATTTTGAAACTTAGTTAAAAATTCCTTCAGACAAAATATGATGATTTTTGACATCTTAAACACATGCAAATGATTCATCAGTGAATAGCTTAACAAAACATCTTGATGTTACTTATGTTTTTTATTGTTGATTTATTTGTTGTTGTTTTTTACAGCATCCAATCATGAGGCTGGTTTTTGTTGTGCTGGTTTTTCTGAGGGTCCAGCATGTGAACTCAGCATCTAAGGGAATCGTCGCCAGTCTTCAAGCCAAATGGGCTGCGACCCCTCTCCTACTGGAAACAAGGTGGGCTGCTATCATAATAGGCTCGTTTGACTTGGCCAAAATCTGCGCAGAATCGATTACCGGTGATCACCGCAAGATGCATGCCGGTTAGAAATGTGTCCGCCTTGCCTTCGCCTCGCTCTGATTTCACGCTGACGTGCGCCAAAAAACTCTCGCGATCGCGAGGCGGGTACCTCGGATAGAGCAGTCGGCCGCAGTTGTTCTCAAAAGACTGCGTTACCAAAAGCATGATGGGAAACGACTGGCTGACGACACAGCTTAATGCTGATTGGATGAGACTGACACATTACACTTTATTATCTTGTTTAACTAAGGTTTATACCTGGATTTGTTGAATACCTTTTTTTGTATTTTCGTTGATAATTAAAAAAAAGTCATATAGAGCATTACATATGGTTATTTATTTAGATTTACACGGAAACAAAAACAAAACACATCTTTGTAAAACATAACGTGACCTATCCAATATAACTAAATGTTACTTATAAATCATTAGGATGTGTGTGTGCTGTATTTTATTTCTCTCTCAGTTTTAAGTCCTGTTTGTTGTCATTTTCACTTTTTTGGTGGCGCAGTGGGTTGCACAATCACCTCACAGCAAGAAGGTCACTGGTTCGAGGCCCAGCTGGGTCATTTGGCATTTCTGTCGGGAGTTTGCATGTTCTCCCCCTGCTTACATTGGT